TAAGATATAGTACAGCATACGAAATCGCCATCCACACAAATATGCTTATCGCTATTTCCAGCCAATCTGTCATGTAGGCACCAGACAATGTCAAGGCACCCAGCAGAGAATATGATCTGCAATGTCGCTAAGTAGCAGATCAAATAAATTTGAATCGAGGTTTAGGTTGTTCCTGTGGAATTGGTAATCAGCTAGGTAATGCTAGAAAGCTATCGTCCTATAACTTCCTCTGTGATCCCTTTCCGTCTCCAGTCCCCAATTTCTAAAGAGACCAGCTGTGAAAGTGGGGCGGTCAGAGTTCTGTGTTTAGCGCGGCACCAACAACTGGTGGAGGGGCAGGCAACAACTGGTTCAGAATGTGCTGGTGGCTTCCTAAACACGACTTCTCTGTACCAATCCGCTCCACGTAGTAGTGCTGCGGAGAAAAGAAAAAGTTGCCGCGATAGAAGGAATTGAGTTTAAATTGTCCCTAGACCCGAATTTCTCGACTCCCCTGCGTTTCTCAGATCGACTAGCTCACACTGTCCGAGTCTCTCTTGTCAACTAGTTATGAAGTACTGTGCTACCGCAAGTGATGCGCACCACACCTTTCTATCATATTATCAACAAGGTGTTAGACCGCGTCCAGACTTCGCGACCGTATGCTATACTTCCCCTCGAAGGGGAGATATCCCCCAGTAAATCTCCGCTCTCTGCCGTTCTCTCTATCGATGCCCCTCGTCTCTCTGCTTCTGCCTCTCTGCATCCTTGCTCCCCACTCTCGCGAAATCTCCCCAACGACATTCGCTGGGGGAGAGGGGAGCATATCGATTATACTCTGCGCTGCACTATATTCGCACAGAACAGGGTATGGATCAGAGTGGCGAGAGCGAGAGAAACGACGGCTATTATTAGGGATAACGACATGGAGTGGAGGTTAGAAGGGGATATCTACCGAGGGGAGTATAGCATACGGCCCCTGAACGCTCTTGGAAGGGCAAGTCAACTACCAAACCCCACTTTCTAGTTTGTATTATGACAACAATTATGACTATACCGATCAAGTCGATCCGTATCATTCTGTTTATCGTCGCCAAATAGTGATATTATTTGAGTTGGTGGAGGCGTCGTCATCACTGTACACGCATTCGGAACCAAAGGCTGAACGTTAGGAAGCGAAATTTTCCAAAGAAGGGAAAGCATGTCCTTGTTCGCTGCGGACGAAGGGGTGTGTCAAGGCGTGATGGCGTTGGCGCGGCGCCAGCTCCGTTTTCCACTGGTTGCTGAAGCGAGCAAGCCGCAAGAGTGAACCTTATCTTTCCAATCAGTTGCCTTCCACTGAATTTCGCTGCTTACCCGCTTCAACAAGCGGCAGAGAATGAATTGGCGCCGCGTCAAACCCATTTCGCCGGACATTCCCCTTCATCCGCAGCTAACCAGACTATGTACTACACCTTTCACCATGCAATTGAAGGTATAACACCTCCTTTCAAAGGATTCTCCCGAAAACAACACTAACAAACAACACAAATCTTTCTTCGTTTTACAATCCCATCCATCAACACTGAATAGTAACTGCGTAAGGATAAACACGATAACACACAAGATAAAACCGTCTGATTACCAACAAAGTAAGCCAAACCTCTTCTTTAGAGTGATCCATTAATTATGTTCTTCCAGACAATTAACGTATATTCTAATTCGCTGCGGACGGTTGGGCGTGTCAGGCAGTATGAGTGTGTCACGCTGTCAAGCCGTTCTCTGCCTTCTTGTTGAAGCGCGCATGCGACAACCAAGTGGTAGAAAACGAGTAATACGAACGATATGGTAGTCTTATCACTTGCTCGCTTTAACAACTGGTGGAACACAGCGTCAAACTCATCCCGCCTGACATACCCAATCGTCCGCAGAACTACACTATATCTGATACACAAGTACAAATTCACACTGTTTCTTGAGAAAAGTGTAAGAAACAACTATAGAACCGAATAGAAATGAACTAACTGGATTAATACAACGATATATAAAAAGAACTACTCATTGTAAATGAAAAGCCAATAAAAAGGAAGTAAACTCGATCGGTAAACCTACAAGCAAGCGCTGGTAAAAAGGACCTTAAAGAGAAAAAAAACGTTGCGGAATGAATGTAGAAGCCTAAGCCTTTCATCGCGTGAAGGTACAAAGAACTACGAACTTCACCTGATGAAACACAATGTCTGAAAAATTCTAAAAAGCGACCAAGGCTAAAAAAGAGAATGTGCATGCTTACCAAGGAGAAAAAAAAGCAGAATGAACCAAAAACAGCACATATTCCGTACACCGCACATGAAACCACTAAAAATACCACTGGGACACTTCCGTTCACGGAACCCGACTAAAAGAAGCCAAACAGTAAGTGCTAAAGGAGTAAAGCGCTCGAAAGATAAAAACTAAACGCGAGCTGGATAACCGCTAGCGAAATGATGAGGAATTACTACTAAGTGAGGAAATACAAGAGGGCTTGTCAAGGAATATAAGGATGCTGCGCCAAGGTTTGGGAGGGGGGAGGAGGAGGGGGCGGGGCGAGGGACACGGCAGCGTGACTATGATTGCGTTCATACCTCGCGTCAGCGATTTGACCGTATAGCAACGTCCTGAGCGTTTCAAGAGCCTGGTAGCGTTTTGGGCAACTAGGCAATTGTACTTGTACATATCCATCTATCGTTTTCAGTGCACGCCAGATTTTCGAGCGTTTTGCGACCAATTTGAACTTTTCGCCGGCGTCGCTGAAAAAGCGGGTGTACGCTAGATCTATACTTATACTTTCCTAATCGCTCAGCCGGACGCTCAAAACGCCGTCGCAAAGTATGAACGCAACCCATCTCTGCTCTGCAAGACCGACGCTCCGTGTTGCCCGAGCTCTGTTTCGCCCGCACTTTGCACCCCCCCCCCTCCTCTTCCCTGCCCAAGCTACGCTAGCGCCATAAAGATTCCCACTCTTGACACGGGAATAAAATCGAATGTTAGAATACAGCAATCCATAAACATACGAGATAAACAAAGCGAAAAGAAAACAAGAAAAGAATCACAGAGAAAAAACAAACCGCGAAAAACATTGGATAGCACTCTGAGGAAAAACGAATTCCTATACAAGACGTAGCACTTCACAAAAATAATTTGGACGACATTCTCCTATGTATAGAGTCAGCATCCGCTACGCTATTAAAAAGAGATCATATAGAGATTCGAAACTATTGCTTACATGAACTAGCTAAATTCAGACTAAGGCAATAGAAGTCGACCTCATAAAGGCTTCGTTCTATACTTGAAGTATTCAAGAGATATACAAAATAAGAAACCTTGAATGCAGTAGCGACGGGTGAATATCTTTTCACAAGCCTCAAGAAATTTTCTATTCGATATGGAGAACACCCATCTGTCATTCCCAACTGTGTACATAGGCTATATTTAACCATCCATTTGCGATTCTCGTTAGGCAAACCATGTGGGGATAACAAACGTCTTTACAAGGCTAGTACGCACCAGAATAAAAAAGAACAAATAGCCACGCATGGGGAAAGCAAAAGAAAATTGCTTTTTCTAACAGAGGCGACGCATCAACGTGGTCGAGAAAGCCTGCTGAAGGTTCGATTTCCCATCCTCAGCAATCCACGAGAAAGGCGCTCCCACATCACAAACAGCAGAATCTAAATTAAAGAATAAGCTTTCAATCAAGATCAGAATGGGTCAATCGATCGCGATTGACAGCTTTCCACCTCTAGTCGTTGGACCGCAGCAACCTCTAACTCCTGACGAGTCACATCCACGTGGAACATTATGACTATCTGGATCGTCCTCATATTTCTTATAGCCTTTCCAAGACTGAGCAACTTTATTAGGGGACTACGTTTCCGTGTCTTCGCCTTCTTTATAGTCTGAAATGGTCAAAAAACATTACTCCACGCTTGAGCCTCTACATTGTGGTCGTCCTCGCTTCACGCGGGCGATCGAGGTAAGCCAGCGTTCCGCCCTGGATCGATACCGTTGAACGATTTTCTAGTTTGTGGGAATTGTCTTGAGTAGTGTTGAAATGTTTGAGCGAGCAGGTCTCGAAATGTTTTTTGACCATTTCAGGCTCTGACGAAGGCGAAGACGCCGAAACGTAGGCCTTCAATAAAGTTGCTCAATCTTGGAAAGGCTAGAAGAAATACAAGAACGATATACATCATGCCAAGATTGCAAGAAAGTCGAACATGGACAATCTGAATCGTCTGCACCCTAAGCTTAAGCCTAAGTTTGGGGGGTTGAAAGGCACAACCGGTTATCCCCCACGTGGGGTATGTGACAAAAATAGCCATATATGTCATGTCGTAATATTCAAGAGGTCCGGTGCTCCAATCGACAGGCTAATTTGAATTGAGAAAACGCTGCGCCGCGCGCCACGGAGTGGCGAATTATGGTTGTCTTGACCGTCTCCCATCCCCTCCCCCGAGGCAGGTTAACTCCCCAACCACATTAGTGCTCAAACTAGATATGAAGCCTAGTAAATTAGCGAGAATACTCGCCAAAAACTCGGTAAAGATGTGACTGAATCAGATGTCGCAGCGGTCCAAGGATTAGCGGTGGTGGGCCGCCGGTTCGCAGTTGCCCGACTTTGAGCAACTCAAACGCACTCTCAGAGTGCATTCATACTTCGTTAGTGATCACTCAAATCGTAGGAAACGTCCGAGTATTCCGCGCGAACAGTCGCGAACTACGAACGGACTCCACAATCAAAAATGAATACTGGAAGAACGGAATGATCAAGGATTAAACTGTCTTACCTATGAATGTATTGGGCTTAACTGTTGCACACAACTGAGCAAAACTCGTCTTCCCCACTTGCGGTTGAGCATTACAAGAAACAGTATACATACCCGACGTCAGAACACCCAACATTAGAACATGAAGCTAAAATGAACAAATATTAACTGAGAAATTTCAACTTAATTTATGTAATAAACACATTTGCGCTATTAGGATAACTCACTCTATGATAATCTAACACAGAAGAGGAGCACACTCAAGTGAAATAACATGTGAGCTTGTTTGCTTTCCAAGCCACGATTGTGTCTCAGAGGTCAACTCGTCGGTAAGCACAATTATTACCTAAACACTATTATTACTTACCATACAGATATGATGAAAGCAGAATGAGGCGCAGTTCGGTGTGAGGGGGGGGGGGCATTTTAGACTTTTGTCACTTCCCATCGTCATGTCAAGCCATCAGAGATCTGTGAAATCGTGTGAAGCCACGAATACCTAACTGATAGCAGTTGAGTTGAAGTTCGTAGAGGCCGCTTAGCAACTCTTGTAAAGCCTGAACAGAGCAATCAGACGTAGCGAAAGTGCAAAATACTCCCCCCCCGCCCCCTTCAAACCGAACTGCGCCCAGAGTGAAAAAGTAGAAAACGTGGAATAATGCTCACCCTTAAAGCAGATGGTAGCATTGAGACGCGATCAACCACTGAGACTAGACTCAAATCGAAACTCGGAAACTTCCCGTAAAGAGTAGTTGCCACCCTGGAAAGGAAAATTGAGTGTTTTTTAGAAAGGTTCATGCACCGTGACGTTTCTCTATGTAGCAACTCAAAGAAAAAGTTTGGCTGGAAACAGTAGCCATCTTAAGAGGGCCTAAATGTTAGCTTAAAGGCAGTTGGCACGATAAATCCCCAAGACGAGTAGGATTAATACGCCTGGCAGGACGGAATTCCGCGACCCTGGGCAGGCGCTGCATAGCGGTTTCCCCGAGGAAGGTGCCCTTATAAGGGCCCTCAAGCCACAACTTTACGTCCCAAACGCCCGCCACGCCCCCGCCCACAAATGGACGACCGTTCCTGACGCTCGTATTCATTCATTTGCTAAGCAAATTATGAAGCGAAGGGATTGGTATGAAGCGGCCGTGATGCTGCATGCATACATGGGTACACATATGCAGCCGTATCTTCGGTAGCGGTGATTGGCAAGATGCCTACGGGAAACTCGTCCGAAATCGATTTTCAAGTCACTGAGAACGGAGGCTCTTTCTTCGCAGGATTTTGACCGTTTCACTCCGTTCTTTCGCCATTTCCCCACTATATAGCGCCCTACTAGCATTTTAGGCCGAGCACCAAATCATCGTGCCAACTGCCTTTAACTAGCCAAGTAGCCAGTAGTAGTGAGTAGCTGCAGAGGGAGAAGCAAGCCTTTGGGCAATTAGAAAAGCAAATAAAAGTTTGAGAAGTTGAGAAAATGAAAAGACTAACCCTCTATTGTCGAGATGTGACAGTATACGGTCGACCAATCTCAAAGGAGTTGTCGACGATGCCAAAACAACAGTCCGATCAAGGGTTATTCCAAGCCTAAAACCAGCAGAAATCAGCATTCTCGTTAGTAAAAAAAAGGATAAAACCATCGCCGTTGATCAATCCTTTTCTGGTATGCGACGCGCATTTTACTCCTAAACAGAATCGTAGTCGCAAAGTGTACGCGATATGGCCATTACAATGGCTTGCGAGGGGTGACGCGGATGTACAATTCAGTGTTTTTGTCTCCCAAGACGAATCCAGTACCAATTAACCGTCTTCGGAAGGTAGAAGGTTTGATTGATCTTTCCGGGACTTGATCCAGGACTCGCGCGTGGTGCGGTGCCACTACGCTAGCTCCGTCTACCATAAAGTAGAACTCAAGATGAAAGTTTCAGAAACTCTTGTAAAACATACCTCCCCACAACATCTATTAGCCACATAATCAATCTATCGGCGACCATGTAATA